CTAAATTAGGGACGGCTAGCGCAGATAGCTCTCGTGTAGCGTTGCGCGAAATTCAAAAACAAACAAAACAAACTGTAAAGGTACAAATTAATGTTTTAGCGTTTCGATGACCAGTTTATTCTACGTAATCTCCGCAAGTAAATTAAATTGAAAAAAAAAATGTTGTATTTATTTGATATTAAAAATACAATAACACCCTAGCGCTTTTGAGGGGTGCACCTATCTGAAGGCTCCAGGTCTACCTGCCGAAAGCGATGGGGTTTTATCTTAGGTGATTTACTTTTCTTTTTATATCTTGCGTGTTTTTTGTTTGTTTTTAGCACGGATGTACTTATTTGAAATATTTCAAACTATTTTATGGTTTAGATCTGATAAATATCAAATATTATATATGTTGAAAACGATTTGTAAATACTGTAAACAAAAAAAGAATATCACTGTAGTAAACGTGCAAGTCTACAAACGAACACTTCATTCCGCCTTCTGTTCCACCTAGTCAGCTACTAGTCGCCCTCTGTTCAGCACTCTTCAACCGTTTAAAGTTGAAGGTCCACCTTCGAGGTCCTGGCGGCCAAAATCGTAGTGTGGTTCAGCTTCTCTTATGGATGTGATTAATCTTCCTAGTGACAGCATGTTAGCTAGGCTTTTGTTGAGGTCTTCGTCGAGCTGGATGAGAAAACACGTAGGACAGAATAGGCAAAGGGCAGCAGGTTACTTGGCCATTTACTCTACATAGCATCAGGTTGCTTAAATCATGATTGTAATACCCACAAACACGCCTGCTTGATTTCGACAGAAAGTGAATTGGTTAGGTTTTTTGTTCACTCTCCTTTCCACCTTCCTCACCCAGCACATCTATCTCTGCCCTTTTCAGATCATCAATACAAATCACGTTATACCTAACATACCATAGCGTTTACCAGTTAAATACCATAGAGAAAGAATCAATTAATTAAAATCTCCTGTTCAACTTGTAGATGGGTAAGCTCATGTTCAATCTGCACCGCAGCCCTCCCGCTGTGGGACGATTGTCTACTTGGCAGACAGTGACTCCAGGCCTAATTTATAACTGGAGAAATTTCGAATTCCTATTTTATTTTTGACGAACGTATTCGTTTCTTTTCAGCGATAGAATGATAAGGTCTTTGTTGTTGTTTTTGTTGTGATTTTTTGATAAAAAAGGAATCGCTTTTCTGCTAAGAGTGAAGTTATTTTTCTCCTGTCTTAGTAAGTTTATTGATATAAACTACGTTACTTCGATCTTGGTCTTTGTTCAAACAATTCTTATCTCGCGTTTCAAAATTCATAATTTACTCTTTGATAATTATAAACATACATCATTTACTTAAGTTGATTTTACACAGACACACACATATATTTACTTTAATTTTGTCTTTAACTATAATCTTAACTAATGAAAACTCATTTCATGAGATGTTTTGACCTATTAACAACTTTTTTTTTCTAAAATAACTGAGATAAAAGAAAAATTCTGTTTAGTACAGTAGAACGAACGATTGACAGTTGTTGTTTTTTGGGGGGAGAATAACTTCTTTTGGACTTGTTTTAAAGCGGATTAAAATTTAATTTTGTCATTTACATAACTTATGACCTCGGAAAAAGAAAACAGAGAAATTAAAGATGAACTGTCTGGCAGTTCCTTTGTGTTCTACTACGTAGTCGTATAATAACAGTAACGACGTGATAGCAGTGCCACCTTCAATGAAAAATAAAGTAGATTCACAATAGAAATATGAAAATCATATAATACTAAAACCTAACACAATATACAGTACTTTAAATATCGGTCAATATCTGACAGATATTGAATAAACATTAATGTTATGAATACGTACATACATATAGACAAACGTATAAAAAACAGATGTGAATGACATATTCATTGCATTTATTTCAAAACGTCCAACTAAAAAGCTTTCTCAAACTATTTTGTATTTGGTTCGCATTTATATATGCTAATTTTATCACAATTTTAAATAACTACATTCAGTTAACATCTTGTTTTTAAAGTATGTGTAAACAGATTTGATCATGAACCCTTCTATTATCGCATTTATTTTTACATTATAATACAGCAAGGAAAAATTATCTTAAAGCACTGTTTTCTTTATAACGTATTTCACAATATTTTTTCTGGTTTAGTTTATACATTCATCAATAAGTTTTAACACAGCTAAACTCAGAGGTTCTTATTAATAATAACGAACTCGTGTTTTAATATGATCATCACTTATTCTGTATTATTTTCACTTCCTCAAGTTAAAGATTACTTGGAACAATGAGTCAGCTTCTTTCGTAACCGTACTAAACTAAACGTGTCTTGTGGCATGTGTACAGGGTATTACTAAAACTAAACATAGTCCAATATATCTATCTATATATACACAAACCCACCCACCTACAAAAAATAACGTAGAGCATGTAACTTGAAAACACGTACTTGCAAAACTGAAAATTTGGACTGAAATAAAATCGTACTACAAAAAACAAATATCTTCAATAACAGAACAAGAATCACGAAATTAGCTATGTATGTGCAAATGATTAAAAAAAGGACTTCTGCAAGTTATTTAAATTCTACATTATAAATTATTATATTATGAGAGTTAATTATATAGAGATTTCAATTAAGAATTTGTTTTGCACTTAGCCTCTAAATTCTTTCGTCATTAAAGTTTTTTTTTATTATTATTACAGCTCTATGAACTGAGTAGTGATCTCAAAAGGAAGGAATTTTTGGACGATTTGTTTCAGTTTATGACAAAACGAGGTATGTTCAACAAATTTCATACGTAATTTGAATAAAAGAAAGAATTAAAAAATCTTCACGAACAAAACATCTGATATGATTCAGGATATATATTTTCAGTATGAGGCCAAGAGTGAAAATATATTTAACCTATCCTTTAAATTACCATAAGTGTTACATTTTCTAATTCGTTGATCAAAATCACCAAATTAGATGCAAGAACTTTCAAACTTAGAAAGTGATCTTTTTATAAAATTTTGAGGAGAATCTACCCAGATTAACATTTTGAGTCTTAGTGTGATTATTTTGTCATATGTGAATAAAAATTGTAAAAAAAATCTGTTAAGTCAACTGGAAACACTTAAAGTAACCCTTTCTTCGTAATATAACGATAAACATTAAACTGGTTATTCTTTGAATATTAGGCCTTAGAAATAATCTTTGACAGCTTAATGGTAATAATCATCATCTTAGACTTCAGGTTTTTGAAGTAATATTTTATGAGAGAGATCCTAAAGAGAATTGGATCAAAGTTTACAGAATAACTCTTGCTGTGATATTCGATGAAGCCTCAACTTTCCAATGTATTTTTATGTGGTACGGTGATGTGAATTTAGCCAAACTAGTCGGTAATGGTCAACTTTTAAGTTGTAAGTGTTGTTTTTTTCTGATAACATATTTTAATAAAAGCTGCAATCTCGGGCTTCTGTAGAAAATTGCTTTTCATCGACTCTGATTCTCATCGAACTAAGTAGTATATAATAACAATAATCTCCTAAAATATTCTGTAGTGGTGATGGTTAAATTAGGGAGATTGTCATGATATAAAAGACTGTTTAATTTAGATACTATTGATTACTTTATTTTGTGAGTAAATGTTTTATTATTGTATAGTTTTTGTTATAATAAGAATTAAAAGCAGAGATAGGAAGTTGTGTTTATAATTCATTGATGTTGAGACTATCGAACGTCGCATGCAATACAGTGACGCCGAGAATATAAAGAATTCTAGAAGGCTGGCACATGATTAAGTGATAAACATATAAATAGTGTGAGACGAGCGGAAGAGAGTAAAGTTACGGACAAGGAAAAGTTCGGCGTGAAGTTAACTACGGTAGAAGTGATAGACCTAAGGATTAACATAGGCCTACGGTTTAATATGTTAGAGTAAAATAATAGTAAAAAAGAAGATAAGGAAATAATTATTCCGTCAAAACCTGATTCTAAAATAATTGAATCAGCCTGAATGCACTTTGACAAAAGAAACGGAGGATATTTTGAAGAAAGAACAAATGATTACGGTAACTCGCGCCACAATTGTAAGTGAATCACACACAGAATACTAGTGCGATAGTAATAGACAAGATAGTTCGGCTTGTCAACTAAAATTCTAAGGCAATTGAATAGGCCTAAGTGGACTTTTGACAAGAAGAAGAGAACTATATATAGTGTTTATGATATGCCTATAATCTCTATAGTCTGAGGAATTTGTAATACATACGTTTAACTTGTTCAGAATATATGTATTATTTTGAAAACAAGTAAAGTGCGTACTGTTCATTTATCGTTGACTTAATCGCTAACAAGTCGCATACACCTACTGTAGAAAAATCTTAAGCCCAACAACAACATAATATATAGTTATACTATTAAGAAGTTTAAGTAAAAGCCTTTTAATTGACAATTGGCGACCAAACCATAACCATAAAATCTGACAAGAGATGTATATCGTCCATTGAAACTTGATGGCATATTGAACAGTTTTCACATATAGGTGTTTTCGTAACATCGTGTGTCCGCCGCAAAAGAAAACAAGTCGATTTAAATTCTGACAAAGATCAATATATGTTAGAGCCTAAAGAAATTTAATGACTAACAATTTCACCAATAAAAGCAACTCTGAAAAAAAACTGTAAAATATTTTCAATGTCTATTGCTAAAAAATAAATATTGTTACAATTTCAAATAAGCTGAATAACGCCAAAATGGTAGAATCTCAGTTTATGTATTTAAAACGTTTTTGGGTAACGGTATCCGTAAAAATTAACTGAAAATCGATCATGCAGGCTTAACTTTCAGAACTATTAACTTAGGTTAGCTATGTTTTAACGAATCGATGCCAAACCATTCAGCATTTATAAGTAGCACAATTTCTTGTAAAGTGGAAACTTATTAGAACAAATACAAAACTAAGATCGAGCTGAACTTAAATTCACGACTGTACTTATAATCATATTCTATTCTTAATAATAACTGTTATGAAAACTGAGATTTACAGTATTTTATTTGGTCCTCTGTATAGTAAGTAGAATTGCGGGGTCTACCCCCGTCAGTTTTCACTTTTAATTCTTCAGAAAACTTGTTCATTCGTTGATCCTAACTTGAGAATTATACTATCTAATAGGCGTGCTTGTTTTTTGAACTACAGATACCACAATTAAAATAACGCCACTTGTAGCGTGTGACTAAGATGAATACCAGCGAACCTTTTATTTTAGAATTTTGGCGCAAAGCTACACAAATGACTATGCGAATAGCTGTCCTAATTTTAAACTAATAAACTAGAGGGAAGACAACTAGTTAACAACACCCACAGACAATACTTTGTCATGGTCGAATAGTGGGATTTCACCGTCACTCTTGTGGCATACCTACGGCCCCAAAGTGCGGAACGTTTTGCAGCAACAGGATGCGAACCCTTCATCCTTGGATTCACAGTCAGGGTACGTTCACGGCAAGGTCATCCCAGGCCCACGCGATTTTTTCTTAAAAGTAAGAAATAATTAAATTTTGCAACTATTTCATTAACTATTTAATTTAATTAAATTCTGGAGAGTTTACAGTGGTGGATTACGTAAACAGAGATTTGGGATAGTATAATTATGACTTAGTAAAACGTCCATGTGAATTTCAAAGCTATTAACTTATCTCGTATGTATTTTATTACAATTCACGAGTTCTGACGCTCAAGCTGTGGATAATTAAATTACTTATAAAACAAGGTTGTTAAAAATGATTCGTTATACGACTATCAATTACTTGACTTGCAAAATACAGAATGGGACATTTATATTTCATTACTTCGTTTACGTATTGGTGGCTTTGGCATATTGTTAAGAATAATTTAAAGTTGTTTAATGAGTCCTTTTGAATTAACAAATGAGATAAAGTTTGCCAAAAGAGTTTTGAAATAAATATAAGATAAGAAGAAAAGGACAGTTCTGGAATTAAACTTTTCCCGAGTATAAGAATGCTTCCTCACACGAAGTGCCTCTTCCAAAGTTAAATCGAAGAAACTTTTTCAGTAAGAAATAAGTAAATTTTCATTTTTGATCTGGTTTACATTCGTACAGGACACAATTAGAAGAACGGTCTGAGTTTGTAAATGAAATAAGGTGAAAAGTATACACCCATTCGTGTATATATATCCAAATTGGATATAACTACTGTGGGTATTCTGTCACTTGTGTGCTTGTGTTTTGAATTTCGCGCAAAGCTACACGCTAGCCGTCCCTAATTTAGTAATGTAAGATTAGAGGGAATAAGCTAGTTATCACCGCCAACTCTTGGTGGGACAGGGATTCGAACTCGCGACCCTCAGACTACGGGTCGAGCGCCCTAACCACCTGGCCATGATATTTAATGTTACTTTTCATTGTTGTTTATAATTTTGTATTAAGGCGCATTTCGTGACAGAAGACCCAGATGGTTAAGGCGCTCGACTCGCAATCTGAGGGTCGCGGGTTCGAATCCCCGCCCCACCAAACATGTTCGCCCTTTCAGCTGTGGGGGGCATTATAATGTGACGGTCAATCCCACTATTCGTTGGTAAAAGACTAGCCCAAGAGTTGGTAGTGGGTGGTGATGACTAACTGCCTTCCCTCTAGTCTTTCACTGATAAATTAGGGACGACTAGCACAGATAACTCTCGTGTAGCTTTGCGCGAAATTCAAAACAAGTTTGGTTTGTGTTGGCTAAACTATGTTGAAACACACGTGATACCACATTCGTGCTTCATCTAGTTTTGAACTGAAATTAGCGGACGAACATATAGAATTTCTACATGATAGACTAAAGTATATTATCGCAGTAACTCTGCAAGTCTGTCTGGATCATTATTTGGTCGTTGTG